CTATTCCTCGAGCTTGTCCAGGTCCCTCTGAATGGCATTGCATCCCTCAGGTGTGTCAACCGCACCGCTCAGCTTGGTGTCATCTGCAAACTTGCTGAGGATGCACTCGATCCCACTGTCTATGTCATTGATGAAGATATTAAAGAGTACTGGTCCCAGTACGGACCCCTGAGGGACACCACTTGTCACCAATCTCTATTTGGACATTGAGCCATTGACCACTACCCTCTGGATGTGACCATCCAACCAATTCCTCAACCACCCAGCAGTACACCCATCAAATCCGCATCTCACCAATCTCAAGAGAAAGATGTTGTGAGGCACTTTGTCAAAGGCCTTACAGAAGTCCAGCTAGATGACATCCATAGCTCTTCCCTTGTCCACTGATGTGGTCACTGAATCATGGAAGGCCACTAGGTTGGTCAGGCAGACCTTGGTGAAGCCATGCTGGCTGTCTCAAATCACCTCCCTGTTCTCCATGTGCCTTAGCGTAGCTTCTACGAGGATCTGTTCCATGATGTTCCCAGGCACAGAGGTGGGGCTGACAGATTGGTTGTTCCCAGGGTCCTCCTTGCTACCTTTTTAAAAACGGGTGCAATGTTACCCTTTTTCCAGCCTTTAGGGGCTTCACCTGACTGCCATGACTTTTGAAAATCATTATCTTCTCATGATGTACGTTTCCATACTCCTCTTAGTCACAGATTTGTCATTAAAGAATCTTAGCTTTCAGAAGAGTTAGACAGATTCAGCTTTACGTGCGTACAAGAGTGGTGTAGATCTGTATCTCCCTGTCAGAAAGAACTGTCATCACTGAGCAGAAAAATGTCATCATTATCACCTGTGGTGGCTTTGTTTTTTGCAGGTTCCACTTTGCACATGAATGTTTATGGGGCAATGCCCTGCAGATGGAATAGGTGAATCAATGACTCATTTATCCATTATCATTACTAGTTGTGTAACTGTTCATGTTCAGGACAGAGGAAACCCTGCTCAGAAAGAGATGTTTAAGCATCTAGGAAACTCAGGCAGAAACCAAATATGCTTGTGTGTATATTGGTGGGGCTTCAGATTTAAGTATTACATGAAATAAGCTGTAGTATTAAAGAGCTAAATTTTGGACCTGGGTGCTAAATATGGAAAGTAAATGAAATTCTACACTCCTAAATGTTTTTATAATCCCTCTATTGGTAGGGATAGCTCAAAGGAAATTATTGTATGTGTGCTCTTGGAGAAATGTGCTGCAACAGTGATGCAGACAATAGGAATAAATTAAAACTGTATCTGCATCTACTGCAGTAATTCCATGGTGCTGAACTTGGGAATAGTGTTCAATGCACATGTAAGAATATGTGACACTAAGGGGTGTAAAGAATCTCATCTGTAAGCTAAAAGGCAGGACAAATCGGAATAGTAAAAGCCTCCAAGAGGCCATGTATTATCTAAATATGTATCACATGGATCTTAAATTTAGCTATTGGAGAAATAAAAACAGGTATGTAAGACCCAAGGTTCAGCAAGTTAAAATACTGTTCCAGAGGAAGAAAATATGGTGTGTTATACTTTTGCTGTATTTGGCTGGTTGCTTGTTCTCACTATTTCCCAAATTCTGTTTGGTTAGAAGAATTCTGTAAAGTTACATTTACTCCGGAGACTGCCTCTTACATCAAGTATCAGAACCCCATTCTTCTCTAAGATTCATCCAATTTTGTAGTAACCCTTTTACAGAAAATGCTGGTGTGATTTAGAAATAACAGTCTACTTCTGAAGAACTGCTCCTGGTTCATACTAATACAAATTAAATTTTTATCTGAGCTATATGTGTTTTATCATCTTTGGTTAGTACCAGTAAGATTACATTAAAACCCCTTCTTGCCTTATGCCAATTTGAAAAGAAATGCTGTTAATTTTATGGTTATTGTTTATGCAGAGAGAACAGTCAATTTCTAATCAGCTAAGTGATCAGAGGTCTAACAGCTGCAATTCATATAATAAATAGATTGGTTAAAAATGAAAGAAACAGCAAACAAAACTGCTGAGAATGTAAAGATTTAACTCTTATTAAACCAGGACTACATACTATGGATTAATGCAGGATAAAAAGTACTCTATACTTAATGCAACGTTAAAAAGTATAAAATACTGTAATATACAAAGTAGAATTTTGGAGTGTCTGAGGAGTCTGCAATTAAGTAGTTCTTTAAAAACCAAATTCCATTTATCCAAAATAATGTTGTGTGCATGTATGTGTGTTGGAATGCTATATGTCTTCTAAAGCATAATTTTCAGCATTTTAGAACTAGCATTATTTTGTTATACTACTGCTCATGCAATCACTAAAAATATTTATGTTCCTATTCTTTGAAAAGAATGTGAGATTTCCACAAGGATCTATTTCTAGAAAATACGTGTTTTTGTATAAATTAAGGACTGGACTTAACAAAAAAGAATCTGTCAGCTGATTTTTCAGGAAAATTGTTTAGGGTCTTAAGGTTATCGAATGTTTTCCGAGTTGGAATCACTGAAAATAGGAAGAAATATTACAGGAAGCATCTGAAAAGACATCTTCGGACTATTGGAGGTGAACCTTTCTTGTTCTGCCACCATAGCTCTATTCTGTATTTATGATACGATGCAAGAAATACCATATTGTGTATGGTATAATTTTTCAGCAAACACAGACTCCACTTTTAAAGTAGAAAAATAGGTGTGACTTAAGAGAAATGCGCATGTTTTAGACTAGCCAAAAGAAACAAAGCCCTTAGGATGGGCAGGTTCATTACCATGTGTATGGTATTGCTCCTAAAGTAACAGACCACAGCAACTGTAATTTGTACTCCAGTCATTTCCTGCCTTTTTGGTGAGATCTACTTTGTAATGGATTGGCAGGTGGGACCGATCTTCCTTTGTCCCTTCTGACGAAGTCCAGCATGATTTCTTTTCAATCTTCAGTTTCCAACCTTGTCTTTTTGCCTTTTTGTGACTTTGCTTGTTTAAGCATTCTTGATTATACAGCTTACCACTGCTGTGATTCTTACCGGTTTTCATTGGCATGTACAAACACCGGCAGTCTTCCTTCATATGCTGTGGAAGAGCTGGAGTTGCTCTTTCCTTTTAGGAAGGTTCTCGCCAATTCTGTTAAACCTTTGTGGTCCCATTTGGTTTCTGATGTCACTTGGAGGTCCAGGAACCCTTGAGGATCTTGAAAAACTATACAGTTTCTCCCTCATTAGAGGCAGATTATGCAAGTCCTTGCGTCAAATGTTCCTTTGAGATTGCTCCTTTCTCCTGCCCACTGAGCCACGTGCACCAGTGCCTACCTTTTACTGGCCCTATTTTCTTAGCCCAGGGTATGACTAATATATTCTTCCCTGGTGTCACTGAAGTCAGTGGCAGAAGGTGCACAGTTTCTAGGCAATGTATGGTCTATTTTGTTAGAAATAATGGTGGATCTCAAATACAAGAATTAACAGGTTTTAGTATGCAGTATTCATTAGAACTGAACTCCAGTAAAACTGTATTGGCACAAACTGATATGATTTCCCTTAAAATACAGAGCTGGACTTAACGTTTTGACTGGAACCTGAATCTAGATATAATAATGACCTCTTACCTTAGGTCAGAAAAAAAAATATTTTACAAGTTTAAATAGACATTGTCTGCTGTAGGTATCAAAACCTTTGGCCTAGATTGGTATTAAGAAGTTATTTGACTATAGAAGCCCAATGTAGCATTGCTGCAAATAATTTATCAGGTAAGTTGAGCTTTAGTTCCCGTGAGGAAATCCACAAGTCTGATTTTATTTCGTATGTGGGAGGGTGTTTTGAAGCATCAGTTTAACCACAGAAAATTAAATCCGTGTAAAGACGCAGGTAATGAATGGTTCATTACCATGTGAAAAGCAGGTTCCTCTAGTTGTTACAAAATCCAGTTTTGGGAGTTATCTTACCATTTAACATCACTAGGTAGCAAACCAATAGCAAGAATATTTGAACATGAAATGGCTGAAATCCTAACTCTTCAATCTTACTACTTACTGCCCTGAAAATAGCTTTGGAAGGAGCACTGAAAACTTCATTCTCAGGTATGGCTGGCTAAATCACATCATTAGCACTCACAGGAACAGTGAAGTTTATTAAAAAGTATGTTTACACCCATGCAGCGTTCTTAGCCTATAAAAGCAAGGTTTAATCGCCAGTTTTACAATCAGGCATGATAACTGGTTCCTGGATGTGGGTAAATTTTTTTTTAGTGTCCTAAGCAATTTATTGGAGGTGTAGGATTGCTCTTTATTTCAGTTTTTGTTTTCAAGACTGTTATACTTTTCTGAAAAAAATCTTGAACATCCCATTCTCCTCACAGTACAGTATCACATGACTACTAATTTGGACACGGGGAAAAAAAGAAATGCAGGTATAAACTATAGAACCAAAAGACTACAACTGACCTGTTTCTGATGAGAGTGTCTTCAAAGTAGGGTTGATTATGCCTGATCCAGGATTTTAACCTGAACAGTGACTGTGAAAGTGGCCCTACAATCTCCTGCATCTGCATCAGGACCAAGGGTAACTGCAACTGAGTGGCAAAAGAACCCTTCAATCTACCAGAAAGTACTACCCAAAGCTTTTAAACAGGAGAAGAGATCTCAGTCACTTGTTTACTCCTTTTCCAAAAATATGCAGGGAAGGAAAGAAGGACATGCAAATTTACTGAAGACAACCCAAGTTTAGCTGTTTTAAGCCCAGACCTCTATAGAGCTAAAGAATTGTTTGTAAATACAGTTTGTTAGAAACAGGTATTTTATCATATACACATAGCTTCATAGTTTATGAAGCAGATCATGATGGGATTGCTTTCAACAGTAGGGAAGTGGATTTGATGACCCTCACATCCTTCCAGTCCCATTCCTAACTAAATTTTTTCTCTTTTACTGCAGCCCAGAAGATGGTGAAATTCATCCCGAAATCTGTAGACTATACATCCAGTTGCAGTGTTGCTTGGAAATGTACACAACAGAAATGCTTAAATCCATATGTCTGCTAGGGTCACTGCAGTTTCATCGGAAAGGTATTGAATTGCACAAATATACAGATGCTGATTTAAAAGAGAGAACAGTCTTTTGGGGCATGCATGGGTATTCATGAAAGATAAAGCACCAAACTATAAAATGAACTATACCACTGAAGCTTTTCAGCTACTGAAAAAAAAGCTGTATTTCTATTTCATTATCATCATTTTCCAGAAGTGTGTCCTATCAGGCATGTATCACTAATGTCCTTGTAGATTATAAGTCTGAATGTTTTTTTAAAAGAGTGGTCCCAAAAGTTTTAGCTGTTTTTAGTCAGATCAGTGAGCAGACTATCTTAAATCATTTTATTAGAGGTATTTGTTGGGCATGATTTTGAGGGCAAGTGTTTGGCGGAGCGATATGGCATGGTTTTAGTACTAAACTGATCACTTCCTATCCCTGCTGTTATTTATCCCACAATGCCAGCATATAGCAAAAGATATGGTTTAAAAGGTGCCCATCTTTATACAATTAGATACTAGATTCAGAACTGAAATCTACCTTATATGGTATTTTTACACACAAAGGACATGTCCTTGCTTCAGTGAAAATACATCTCTCTGATGATTTCATATTTGATTACTGAAAGGAAGATGTAGAAATGCAGATAATTCACTGAATAGGTTCCTTAGTAACCTCATTATGCAGTGATGGCACACACTGATTGGGACTGCATCTGTGCTAATTGTTAACTACTCTTTCTGCGGATATCTCAGAAGAGATAGGTAAACACAAGACATGGTTCTGTAATGAACTGTAATTAAGGTCTTGTAATGAACATTATTTATTTCCTATCGTGCTGAAGGATCTCATAATGTATTTTTCACATCTGGCTGTAGGATACAGCTAAATCCAGTGATACTTGTATCATGAAAATAAGAATTAGAGGTTTATAACTGCTCAACTGAGCTTTTCAGTGATTTTCTCAAGTTGAAAAGAAATCTGTAAAATAGGAAGAGACAGAATTAACAGAGCCATCATATAACAAGATGCCAGTAGCTGCTGAAATGAATCATAATTTTTTAAGACAGATTGTACTACATTTCCTAGCATTGGCTACAGTTGTAAAACCACCTTCTGTAATTGCAGCATGAAGGTAGCTTGAGGTGACCTGAGTAACCCCGATATGTCTTGTCTCTCCCTTTTGCTTCTGGATGGAATCTACATTAATAACTTTAAACATCAAACGATTAGGTGTCTAAGATTGGATAAGACAAATTACAGCATTAGAGCATGGGCCAGCTTAGTTCCTATCTGGCAGTACTTTTGAAATCATCTCACCATAGAGAAAATAATGGTAGCTATTCTGACATTGCTAAATAGAGTAATTTTTGTCCTGTATCCGTATAGAGATAACCACAGTAACTTGGCTCCAAGTTTCTGTGATATTCTTTGAGAAAAATTCATAATAGGCAACAATTCTATAATCATAGGGATTTAAGTAATTTTAATTTTGGAACTTAACCAATAGAACATTGTTCTTGTGTATTAAACAAGTATTATTTACAACACCTAGAAGTATTGTAAAGGCATCACACAACAAGGGAAATTCCAGGTACATGCTAAGTATTTTTTCACAGTGAAGGTAGTCATATACTAGAACAGGCACCCAAAGAGGCTGTGAAATCTCCATCCTTGGAGATACTGATAACTCGAATAGCCCTGAGCAATCTGATGCAAGTTGGACCTTCTTTCTGTTAGGGTGTCAGACCAGGTGACCTTGCAACCTATTTATTCTGTGTTCTGCCAAAACACACTATTTTCCAAGGAGTAGAATGAATCCATACCTTTCTTTAATTTCATTACTTACGGAGAATGGTACTGCAGTGTGGGCAAAGTGCATAAATTTATCTCTAGGAATAAAAGAACCAGTAATTTCACCACTATAAAATACAGTATGCTGTTACTTTTTTACTACCTGGCAAGATCATGGAGCAGGTCCTCCTGGAAACTATGCTAAGGCACATGGAAAATAAGAGGTGACTGGTGACAGCTAAGATGGCTTCACTAAGGGCAAGTCATGCCTGAGAAATCTTATGGCCTTCTATGATGGTGTTACAGTGTTGGTGGATCAGTGAAGAGTGACTGACGTCATCTACCTGGACTTGTGCAAAGCATCTGACACTGACACTGTCCCACATGACATCCTTTTCTCTAAATTGGAGAAAGAGAGGTTTGATGGATGGACCACTTGGTGGATAAGGAATTAACTGGATAGTCACACTCAAAGAGTTGCAGTCAATGGCTCAATGTCCAAGTGGAGACCAGTGATGAGTGGCATTCCTCAGGGGTCAGGGGTCGGCATTGGGACCAAGGCTTATCGGTGGCATGGACAGTGGGGTTGAGCATACCGTGGGCAAGTTTGCCCATGGCACCAAGCTGCGTAGTGCAGTGGAGGGAAGGGGTGCCATTCAGAGGGACCTTGGCAGGCTTGAGAGGTGGGCCCATGCAAGCTCATGAAATTTAACAAGGCCAAGTGCAAGGTCCTGTACGTGGGTTGGGGCAATCCTAAGTGCAAATACAGGTGGCACAGAGAAAGGATTGAGAGCAGCCTTGAGGAGACTTGGGTATATTGGTTGATGAGAAGCTCAACATGACCTGGCAATGTGCGCTTGCAGCCAGAAAGCAAATCATGTCCTGGGCTGCATCAAAAGAAGCGTGGCCAGCAGGTCAAGGAAGGTGATTCTCCCCCTCTACTCCGCTCTGCTGAAACCCCACCTGGAGTGCTGCGTCTAGCTCTGGGGCTCCCGTGATAAGAAGGACATGCACTTGTTGGGAGTGGGTCCAGAGGAGGACCATAAAGATGATCAAAGGGCTGGAACATCTCTCCTATGAAGATAAGCCTGAGAGAGTTGGCGTTGTTCAGCCTGGAGAAGAGAAGGCTCTGGGGAGACCTTATAGCATCCTTTCAGTACCTGAAGGAGGCCTACAGGAAAGCTGGAGAGGGACTTTTTACAAGGGCATGTAGTGATAGGACAAGGGGCAATGGCTTTAAACTGAGGGAGAGTAGATTTACATTAGCTATAAGGAAGAAATTCTTCACTATGAAGGTGGTGAGGTACTGGAACAGATTGCCTAGAGAAGCTGTGGATGCCCCCTCCCTGGAAGCATTCAAGGCCAGCCTGTATGGGGCTTTGAGCAACCTGGTCTAGTGGAAGGTGTCCCTGCCCCTGACAAGGAGTTGGAACTAGATGATCTAGGTCCCTTCTAACCCAAACCACTCTGTGATTCTGTGATACTTTTTAACCTGTTTAGTTTTTCACCAATTTTTCACCATCTGAATGACCATGTTAAAAAAAAAAATTTTTCGTTCTATACAAAGACTACTAGTCTTACAAAGTTTGCTTAATTCATAAATGTGTGTATCTGATGTTTTTGCTGTGTCTTGAAGCTCATTTTTTAATGTAATATTTTCCATTTTCTTACCTGTTGGAAAAGTGGCTTGTTAGGTTTTTAAATCTCCCGCGAGATTTCACCAATTTATGTTCTTAGTTGGGAGCCAACAGAGATTCAAGTAGAATGACATGTAGGCTGTTGTTGGCAACCTGCAGCTAATAAATAATAATGTGGGTCCTGGTATCTAGACCAGACATTATCAAACAAACTATAGAACTGATAAAGCTAAGGCAGTGCTGATGCTCTTTTCCCAAGAGAAACTCAGTGAATGCTTCCTACTGGGAAACAGATTCTCTTTAACGAAACAGCATGCTACAGTTTGAAGGGCTGAGCTCTGGATATTTTCACCGTCTTTCGCATCAGTGATCTTCTATCTTTCCTTATCTTTCTGTTCTACTGAACGAACATTCCTATATATACTGTATAGTATATATCAAGTTTTCTGTACAGAAATTTCTTGCATGTTTACAGTGCTTTAGATTAACTTACTACTGTCATACAACCTCTGCTAGAAAAGTCAGGTAGCCCGTTATTTCTTCGAGATGTAACAGTCACAGTAGGGCCAAAAGGCATAAGTATTTCTATCTGTTTTATGCAGTAAGTAAACTGAGGTAAGTGCTCTCTAATAAATTTGTTTCTAAGGCACATACAGCACAAAAGACCAGTATTGAAAATACATTGTGATTGCAAAATTCAACCTTCAGGAAGTTTGCAAAGGACACAATGAAATGTGCTCAAGTAGCCTTAATTCAGGCTTTTTGTAGTTACTGTGTCTTTGGTTGCCTGATCATATATTTTATTACTCCTCCTTTCCACAATCCCAAGAGTCCTGACTAATTGATGTAAATATTTACTTGATCGTATGTCTTTCTTTTATCCTAATTGTTCGGTGTCATACATTGTATTTATTGCACACAATTCTGTTCTAAAGGCAGAATCCTTCTGTTCCCCAGACCTTTCTCAGTAACTCATACATTGATAGGAGTGTCTTCAGAACTGCCTTGAGTAGTGAGCTAGTAGCAATATTTCCCATTGTAAAGAAGGAACAAAGAGACATTAAGCTAAAGATTGCTAATTTAGAATCTGAGATTGCAGCGTACTTTATGCAGTGCTGTATCTGTTTATAGAGTAATTTTTCAGTAGCTTCATTTGCAGCTGAATGCAAAGAGTTTCTGGGTAGAGCAACCAATTAGAAATACTTTGTTAATAACTATTTTGAGGATCTGGGTTTAAGCAACTTGGACAGAATCACATGAAAATTTGGGTAGTTACAGAGTCCAATTTTCAGGGTAGCACTGTGAGAAACTCTCCTGTGTCTTCCTACGGTCCTTAATATGAGGGCTTTAAGGATCTTGCTGTCCCTTCTGTTATAGCAAATATCTATTGGGGGGTGGCTATAGCAAATACCTTTTGGGGCAGATACAGCATATGGCAGTTCATGTTCCAGCTCTTCCAGGAAATCTTCTAAAACTTCTCACTGCATTTGTTCACCCAGTTTTCTTCTGGATCATTATCACACTCTGATAGAACTTCTTTGGATAGAATTATCTTTCTCAGACTTTGTCAAGCAACAGATGAATTCACTTACCTAGGACCTACAGCT